CTATATATATATATATATATATAGTGTCATGTGACTCTGGGTCATTTCGTCAGGTAGAACGCCGCGTTAGATAATAATTAGTTCAAGAATAAATTGTCAAATAATAATTGGCTTAAGACTAAAAAAGTCACATGGAAAATTGGATTCAGGCCAAGGGGACAATACCTAATTTGAACACTAGATGTCGACAAAACAAATTGTCCATTGAGTGCTCGCCAGCTCACAACAGGTCCATTCCCAGAGTACCGGTACTCAAATTAACCTGCTTCAACACGTACATACCAGAGCCAATGCCCTTAAAATGTCTTTAAGGATGTCAAACGAAGATTAAGATGATGATGATAAAGCGTATTGCTTAAAGATGTGCCCCACAGTTGGATCATACAATATTATGGGGATTACTGTTGTGTTGTTTTATGATTCATGCTTTTATTTATTTTTTGACTGCTAGTCAACTTTTCGTCAGTTAACAACTCGAACTGAAATAGATAAACTGTCTTGACACAATATTATGGGGATCACTGTTAAATGTTGTTTTATGATTCATGCTTTTATTTTTTTATTTGACTGCTAGTCAGCTTTCCATAAGTTAACAACTCGAACTGAAATAGATAAACTGTCTTTCACGTTAAATCATGGTTCATTTGATTTAGTGCCAGCCAAAGCTACTGGATAATCACTCTGATATTGTTTATTGTAATACATCGTTTCCTTTGTTTCTTTTTTTTTTTTTTGCTTGTGTTTAAATCATCGCCTACCACGTGCCATCCAAAGCTACTGGATAATCACTCTGATATTGTTAATTGTAATACATCGTTTCCTTTTTTTTTTGCTTGTGTTTAAATCATCGCCTACCAATAATTTATCATCTTTACCGGCAGCCGAGGGTGCAGCGGAAACGGCGCCAACATGGATGGCAACCCCAACCAGAACTTCGGCCTCTACCCGCAGGACTTTTCCCATTACGCCGACTTGCAGTTCAACATGCTGGTCAACGGGAACTGGGATATGCAGACTGAGTCGCCGGCCAGCCCGTCCAATGTGGTGCAGGTGAAGATCGAAGACGACTTATGAAGGCATGGAACTCCGGGAATTAGTCTAGAGCAGAGTTACCGGTTAAATAACGCCACGCTTTCCAGTTCGCTTCAGGTAACTATGTATAACATTAACTTTCTGTAGTTAAGTAATTGTAAATTAACTAGTAGTCTTAAAAAAAAGACTTGTTTATACTGGGGCATGTAATAACAAATTAATAAAAAAAAAAAAGAAAATCGCATTCCCAGATTTAGTCAAATCCCATCTATGAAAAGATATTATTCTCCCCCAAACATTTTGCATCATCTCATGCCTTTATTTAGTTCCTAGTTTAAATGGCTTTCTCATCAGAGGTTGTGTAGATTAGCCACAAATTGTACTCAAATACTGTACTCTTACTTTACAATAAAATGACTCAAGTAAAAAGTACTCCTACAAATAATTACAGTACTTAACATTCAGTGAAAAAAAACCCTACTCAAGTATCGAGTAACAGGTGAGTGACTTTCGATTCATTTTTTAAAAATCAAAACCACAAACATCTACAAGACCGGGGGTCGGCAACCCACGGCTCCAGAGCAACCCGTGGCTCTGTAGCGCCGCCCTAGTGGCTCCCCGAAGCTTTTTCAAAAATGTTTGAAAATGGAAAAAGATGTGGGAAGGTGATATATATATTTTTTGTTTTAATATGGTTTATGTAGGAGGAAAAACATGACACAAACATTCTTAACGTGCTGTAACAATGTGTAGAACAAAATTTAAATTTCAACATTTCTGTCAACAAAGATTTGCGTCATGGGCTGCGACACACGTTTCTGTTAGCAGGGCGAAATGCCAGGCAGGTGGCTATTGCAAAAAAAAAAAAAAAACGGCCTTTCATGTACAATTCACCGAGGGTACTGGCAAAGAATGGGAATCTGGAGGGCCGCTAGAAACATTTTTAAACGGTACACGTGCTACGTAGTTAACACGCTGCAAAAGTGCGTTGAATCCACGTCTAGTCTCGACGAAGGTAGGTAGGCATGCGTGTGTAACTATGTGCGTATGCGTGCGTGCGGTAACGGGTCGATCGCGGGAGGTTGGTTGATCGAAAAGTAGATCTGTCAAAAAAGGTTGGGCACCCCTGCTCGACAGGATGCAGTGCAGGGAAAAATACAGCATTTGCTAATATCGATGCATACAGCATGCGTTGCCTTCATTACAAGGCTGATAGAAGGCTTTGGGTTTTTTGCGGCTCCAGACATTTTTGTTTTTTGGTTTGTTTTTCTTGTCCAATACGGCTCCTTCAACATTTTGGGTTGCCGACCCCTGTACTAGACAAAAATATAAAAAGGGAATGTGCGAAATCGGATATTTCCGAACAACAACACTTGAAGTGCAACAATAAATATTTATTCAAAGAAATAAGTTCAGGCAAATACTGCCACAAGAAAATGGTATTAACTTTCTTCTTCTTACAGTACAAGTGGCTCACCAGGCAAAGATTATGTAGCCGTATTTACTAGGTTGAATAAAAATGTGTAGATTTGCTTCTGTGTGAGGCCGCAATGCCCTCTCTCTCTCTCTCTCTCTCTCTCTCTCTCTCTCTCTCTCTCTCTCTTGCTCGCTCTCTTTTTCTCTCTTTCTCTCTCTTTTTTTTGGGGCGGGGGGGGATTAGGCACATGCTAATTGGTCCCATGAGAACCAATTAAAGATGGACATTTTCATAAATTTATAAAACCCTCCCGGATGCCCGAACAGGATTTAAAAAAAGAAAAAAAGCTCCCGCTAATTCATCCTGAAGGCCTTGCTGGTCATGCCTTCAGTGAAACGGAGCCTTCAGCATTGCCAAATATTTGTGTGTGTATAGTGTTTGTTTTTATTGGTGTCTGTTCCATAAATTGTCACTTGCCTCATGTGGAGTTTACACCGACAGATCCTGAACTGTGTGTTGTCGTCTGTGCAGGGGATGTTGAATTCCACTCTTAAAAGGAACTTAGCCAGTGCACATAATCAAACTTGTCGAACATTCCTATGTAAACACTGTGATGACGGGAACAATAAAACAAAAATGAACTCTTGAGCCCACGTGTCATCATTGGAAACTACACAACTGTAGAATTCTCTAGAATTAGACGTGAACGTGTTACAGAAAGAATACGTTGGCCAAGTTCTCGTTTTTGCTTCCGTGTAGCTGTTTTGGGATGACTCATTCAGCCTTTTTTTCAAATGTTGCTTAATGCAGGTGGGACGAAATTTTTAATTGTATATTAAAAATTATATTTTTAATAGTCTCACTGTCCACAAATGTGAATTCCGCAGGGATAATTTGCCATTTCACCTGTGTTATTCCTCACTATCTCGAGTTCATTTGATTACGGTACTTTTGAACAACCCTTCTTCCCTACAGTCCATTGCATTTTGTCCACAAATATGATTGTACATGATGTACATTTTCATGTTAATGTGTGATCACGCAGCAAGGTGGCCTTTTTTTTAAAAGAATTTTCTCCGACATATGATGAAGTAGTAACATTTGTGGCCCACTCCAGCACTGAAATGTCCCCTCCCTGGTTTCAACAATGAAAGCAGGTGCACTGTGGTTTATTTATAGTGGCCACATTTTTCTGCTACTTCGTTTTCCAACACCCACGGGAGTCCCCGCACTGAGAACAGAGAAACCCCCGTCACATTTGAAGCTCCCTAAATAACACACACTTGAAGCCGAAAGAGAAAGCAGATAGATATTGATGTGAACGCCATTAATTTGTAAAAATGAACCTTCCCATGCCGAGCTTTCTGTGATGATATGTGTGTGAGCGCCATCTAGAGGACAAAGCAAAATAGAACATGACACTTCCGGGTTTTGCAGATTTTTGAAGAGCAATCGAATGTAAATCAAAAAACTCGTTCCGCTGTAATTCACGTGACCTGTACAACTCAGTAGGTTGGAGAAGTGTGCACACCCTCTGAAAAGTGATGACCATGTATAGTAAGGTGTTTTCAGCTGAAAAAAACGACCGTGTATAGTAAGGTGTTTTTAGCCCAAAAAAACCCGAATATGTATAATAAGTTGTTTTTAGCCCCCGCAAAAAGACCATCTATAGTAAGGCGTTTTTAGCACGAAAAAAACCAACCATGTATAGTCAGGCATTTTTGGCCCAAAAAAAGACAACCACGTCTAGAAAGGCGTTTTTAGCCGAAAAAAACAACCATGTACAGTAAGGCGATTTTTGGCCAAAAAAAACGACCATGTATAGTAAGGCGTTTTTAGCCCCAAAAACCAACAACGTATGGATAGTAAGGCGTTTTCGCCGAAAAAAATCCGACCATGTATATTAAGGCGTTTTTAACGCCCCAAAAAAGGCCATGTATAGTAAGGCGTTTTTTGCTGAAAAAAAACGACCATGGATAGTAAGGCGTTTTTTTTGCTGAATAAACGACCATGTATAGTAAGGTGTTTTTAGCCGAAAAAACGACCATGTGTTGTAAGGCGTTTTTCGCTGAAAAAAACGACCATGGATAGTAAGGCGTTTTCGCCGAAAAAAATCCGACCATGTATATTAAGGCGTTTTTAGCCGAAAAAACGACCATGTGTTGTAAGGCGTTTTTCGCTGAAAAAAACGACCATGGATAGTAAGGCGTTTTCGCCGAAAAAAATCCGACCATGTATATTAAGGCGTTTTTAGCCGAAAATAACGACCATGTATAGTAAGGCATGTTTTGCCGAAAAAAACGACCATGTAAAGTAAGGCATTTTAGACTGAAAAAAAAACGACCATGTATAGTAAGGCGTTTTTTTGCCGAAAAAAACGACCATGTATCGTAAGGCGTTTGTAGCCAAAAAAAACGACCATGTATATAGTCAGGCGTTTTTAGTCGAAAAAAAATGACAATGTATAGTAAGGCGTTTTTTGCCGAAAAAAACGACCATGTATATATATTAAGGCGTTTTTAGCCGAAAATAACGACCACGTATACTAAGGCATTTTTTTACCGAAAAAAAACACCATGTATAGTAAGGCGTTTTTACCCAAAAAGAAAACGACCATGTATAGTAAGGCTTTTTTAGCCGAAAAAAACGACCATATATAGTAAGGCGTTTTTAGCCGAAAAAAAACGACCATGTATAGTCACGCGTTTTTTGCCGAAAAAAACGACCATGTATAGTAAGGCGTTTTTCGCCGAAAAAAAACGACCATGGAAAGTAAGTAGTATTTAGCCGAAACAAACGACCATGTATAGTAAGGCGTTTTTAGCCCAGAGAAATGACCATGTATCGTAGTGTAGAGGTACACGCGCCAGCTTTCGGTCCAGGCAACCCGGGTTCAAACCGCTTTCAGAGATGTGTGAAAATACAACACCAAACACGAAGTAACTTTTTTCCTGCAAACCCTCCATCGTGCATGTCAAATAGGCCAAGAGTGCAGATCAAGTCACAGTCACTGGTGGTGTAGAGGTACATATGCCGGTGTTCGGTCCAAGCAACCCCGGTTCAAACCCCGCTCAGTGACATCTGAAAATACGACACAGACACTTTGTTACCTTTTCCTGTAAACCCTCCAGAGTGCATGTCAAATACGCCAATAGTACAGAGCAATTTGCAATCACTGGTCGTGTCGAGGTATATACGCCGGCTGTAGGTCCAGGTTGACTGGTCCGTGCGTCCACTGAACAGGGGAGAGGTGCAGGTTTCGAATCCAGGTCTCAGCCTTCATCTGGGGGGGTTTCCATGTCAAGCTTATTTTTAACACGCATTGATGTCAGGGCCTTCTTGGGTTCGAAGGCGTTTTTAGCCGAAAAAAAAAAACATGTATCGTAAGGTGTTTTTAGCCGAAAAAAGACGACCATTTATAGTAAGGCGTTTTTAGCCAAAAAAAACGACCATGTATCGTTAGGCGTTTTTAGCCGAAAAAAAACGACCATTTATAGTAAGGCGTTTTCAGCCGAAAAAAACTACCATGTATAGTAAGGCGTTTTTTTGCCCAAAAAAAACAACCATGTACAGTCAGGCGTTTTTAGCCGAAAAAAAACGACCGTGTATAGTAAGATGTTTTTAGCCCAAAATAACGACCATGTATAGTAAGGCATTTTTAGCTCCAAAAAAAAACCCTGACTATGTATAATAAGGCGTTTTTAGCCCCCCAAAAAAGGCCATGTATAGTCAGGCGTTTTTTGCTGAAAAACGACCATGAATAGTAAGGCGTTTTTAGCCGAAAAAAAAAACGACCATGTATAGTAAGGCGTTTTTTAGCCGAAAAAAAACTACCATGTACAGCAAAGCGTTTTTAGCCGAAAAAAACGACACCCGAAAAAACCGACCATGTATAGTAAGGCGTTCTTAGCTGAAAAAAAACGACCATGTAAAGTAAGGCGTTTTTTGCCAAAAAAAAACGACCATGTATAGTAAGGCGTTTTTTAGCCGAAAAAAAACGACCATGTACAGCAAAGCGTTTTTAGCCGAAAAAAACGACACCCGAAAAAACCGACCATGTATAGTAAGGCGTTCTTAGCTGAAAAAAAACGACCATGTAAAGTAAGGCGTTTTTTGCCAAAAAAAAACGACCATGTATAGTAAGGCGTTTTTTAGCCGAAAAAAAACGACCATGTACAGCAAAGCGTTTTTAGCCGAAAAAAACGACACCCGAAAAAACCGACCATGTATAGTAAGGCGTTCTTAGCTGAAAAAAAACGACCATGTAAAGTAAGGCGTTTTTTGCCAAAAAAAAACGACCATGTATAGTAAGGCGTTTTTTAGCCGAAAAAAAACGACCATGTACAGCAAAGCGTTTTTAGCCGAAAAAAACGACACCCGAAAAAACCGACCATGTATAGTAAGGCGTTCTTAGCTGAAAAAAAACGACCATGTAAAGTAAGGCGTTTTTTGCCAAAAAAAAACGACCATGTATAGTAAGGCGTTTTTTAGCCGAAAAAAAACGACCATGTACAGCAAAGCGTTTTTAGCCGAAAAAAACGACACCCGAAAAAACCGACCATGTATAGTAAGGCGTTCTTAGCTGAAAAAAAACGACCATGTAAAGTAAGGCGTTTTTTGCCAAAAAAAAACGACCATGTATAGTAAGGCGTTTTTTAGCCGAAAAAAAACGACCATGTACAGCAAAGCGTTTTTAGCCGAAAAAAACGACACCCGAAAAAACCGACCATGTATAGTAAGGCGTTCTTAGCTGAAAAAAAACGACCATGTAAAGTAAGGCGTTTTTTGCCAAAAAAAAACGACCATGTATAGTAAGGCGTTTTTTAGCCGAAAAAAAACGACCATGTACAGCAAAGCGTTTTTAGCCGAAAAAAACGACACCCGAAAAAACCGACCATGTATAGTAAGGCGTTCTTAGCTGAAAAAAAACGACCATGTAAAGTAAGGCGTTTTTTGCCAAAAAAAAACGACCATGTATAGTAAGGCGTTTTTTAGCCGAAAAAAAACGACCATGTACAGCAAAGCGTTTTTAGCCGAAAAAAACGACACCCGAAAAAACCGACCATGTATAGTAAGGCGTTCTTAGCTGAAAAAAAACGACCATGTAAAGTAAGGCGTTTTTTGCCAAAAAAAAACGACCATGTATAGTAAGGCGTTTTTTGCCGAATAAAACGACCATGTTTAGTCAGGTATTTTTAGACAAAAAAAAACGACCATGTCTAGTCAGGCGTTTTTAGCCGAAAAAAAAAACGACCATGTATAGTAAGGCGTTTTTTGCCGAATAAAACGACCATGTTTAGTCAGGTATTTTTAGACAAAAAAAAACGACCATGTCTAGTCAGGCGTTTTTAGCCGAAAAAAAAACGGCCATGTATAGTAAGGCGTTTTTTTGCCAAAAAAAATGACTATGTATCGTAAGGCGTTTTTAGCCGAAAAAAAACAACCATGTATAGTAAGACGTTTTTGGCCCCCAAAAAACGACCATGTATAGTAAGGCGTTTTTTGCCAAAAAAAAACGACCATGTATAGTAAGGCGTTTTTAGCCACGCCTGAAAAAAAAAGACCATGTATCGTAAGGCATTTTTCACCCCCAAAAAACGACAATGTCATGGTAAAGTGTTTTTAGGCCAAAAAAGACGACCATGTATGGTAAGGCGTTTTTAGAACTAAAAAAAAACGACCATTTATAGGAAGGCATTTTTTGGCAAAAAAAAAAAAAAAAAAAACGAACAATTTTCGTAAGGCATTTTTTTCCGAAAAAAACCTGACCATGTTTAGTCAGGCGTGTTTAGCCCCCAAAAAATGACCCATGTATAGTCAGGCATTTTTAGCCCAAAAAAGACGACCATGTATCGAAAGGCATTTTTTGCTGAAAAAACAAAAACTATCATGTATAGGAAGGCGTTTTTAACCGAAAAAAACTACCATGTATCGCGAATTATTTTTGTCAGAGAAAAAAAACTACCGTGTATTGTAAGGCGTTTTTTCACCCCCCAAAAAAACGACCATGAATAGTCAGACGTTTTTAGCCCAAAAAAAACGATCATGTAGCGAAAGCTATTTTTGCCCCCACCCCAAAAAAAAAAACAAAAACAAAATTATCTATAGAATGCTTTTTTAGCCCAAAAAAAACAACCATGTATAGTCAGGCTTTTACTTGCCGAAAAAAACAACCGTGTATATAGAAAGCCATTTTTTCACTTCCTGGTAAAAGAGACACAAAACCAAATATAAAAGTGACATTTTTTTAAAAAAGATTTTATCCAAGCTGAGAGAATGGACAGCTGCTGTATTTACGCCAGTGTTGAGTGTTCTTCCAGCCAAGCAAAGAAGAGGAAATGAGATAAATCAGGGTTGCTTCCTGTTTTCTGTGTGTCTCTCACACATTGACACACAAAGATTTCACTTGTTCTTGTTCATTTGTTTTCAGTCAGATGAGGCTCGGACAGTTTTTGGATGTGCAGCTCCTCTATCAGCTTTTCCGCACACACCTTGAACTGCGGCTCGGGCTCCTGGCAGGAACGAACACACACACACGCACACATGAACTTTCTAGAAAGAAACAGCACATGCATATTTCTGATGAGCGTTTTGGGTATGACTGAAGCATTTTGTTTAATTGATCATGTGACCTTGTGCTCCAGCTGTCTCTGTTTCTCCACAGCTTCTTCCAGAGTCAGACCCACCCACTCGGCCTCGTCCTCGGGGATCTCAAACTGCTGCTCAGCGCGGTGACCAAACACAAGAATGAATTATTTCGCTGGACTTGCAACGCTGAACGTCCGAGCGAAGCTGTTACCTTGTATTTGTTGTACACCTTGTCTCTTGTCACTGCGTCGTCTGGATACAGCTGAGTGTCTTTGCGAGCCAGGCGGAGTAACATGGCCCTCTTCAGGTCCATGCCCAGTTTGGAGTTCAGATCTTCCTTTGGTGTCTAACACAAGTCAACAGACTCCGATTGAAATAATTCTGTCCACTAGGGGGCGTTAATAAACAAAACAAGATGTGTTGCAGTGCTTACATAAATAAATATGGACCCACGTGTGTTTCAGTACTGACTGATTACAATTTTAACTGACTGGTCGGCACATGTATTTATCAGTTTGAAATAGGGATGTAACATCTGTTAAGAAAAAAAAAAAGAGCTAATAGAAAAACATGACAACAAAATGACGAAGTGTACTTCTTTGTCATTGCTGTCATTCTGTACAAAAACACAATCATGTGCTTATATTTTTTTCTATACTTTTTTTTTTTACAATATGAATTTTTTTACAGTATTGTGAACTTTTTAATATCAGCAACCACCCAACATGACGGTGGTAATTATCTTATTGTTAGGTTCATATCGTGATATGCAATGTTTGGATCTCGCTCCATCCCCCGTTCTAAAGTATCATCTTTTCGCCGCTGACCATTTTCCGCTCTTTTGTCCTCCATTGCGTTTCACATCTGTCTGTTTTTTTTTTTTTTAACAGTCGTAGCATTTGTCGCCTTGTGATGACGTATAGGTCGAATGAGCACGACCTAAAGCTGAATTGACCATCACTGTCAACACAGCCTTGTCACAGTCCTTAAATTTTACCCTAATGCCACCAACTTGGCATGCATGTGAGAGTATGTTTTTCTGTCCGACCGTACAGTATCTAACAGTGGGACTTCCTGCACGGCCTAAGCCACACCTACGCAGGTTTCGAACCTTTGTCTGCAGTATCTAGAGAGTGTAAAAAATACATGATTAGTGTAACATTCAATTAAGTCTTCTCGCTTACTTTTAGGATGTAAAAATCAAATCCAAAGGCAGCGTCGATCAGGTCCAGGGTGCGCGGCGTGACCGTGATGGTGAACTTGTGGTCCAGGATCTCGCTGTAAAGTTCTCTCTTCAAAAGCTGTGGCTTCCACGTTTTCGGCAGGCGATTGGACATCTATGCAGATGATGGAATTATCTTGGTAAATTTCAAGAATAAAACAGAAAAAAAAAAATCGAAACATCCTGGTACACACTCACTTTATCATTGTGGGCATATCTGAAGCCCGAAACGAAGCCCTCGCCGCCCCAAAGGCCGTTCTGCGACTCTGGTGGGTAGTAGATGGGGATCGGGACGTCCTGCACTCGTTCTTTTTGACCTGTTTTGGGACTGAGACGATACTGGACCCCCAGGGGCCTCCAGTGGACCGGCGTGGGCTCCTTTAGCTCCAGAGACTTCAGGTAATGCTTGGGAAGCCGGGCGTAGATGCCACTTTTAAGCTTGAGGGCATCCCAGATTTTAGAAGAGTATTTATAGAGCGGCATACTTAATCTTAAAGGCAAGTGAGAATAGAGAATTCATTATAAATCCTTGATTCTTGAAGTGTGGTAAGGAAGTTCCCTTTAGTGGTATGCAAAAAAATCTCTCCCCAAGTATAGTTCGGTCCTATTTACCCTTAAGTCCCATACAGTTGCATGTAATCTTTAATCTTTTTCACTTTTATGTGCAATGCATTTTAGTCAAAGCATTATTTCCTTGCAGTTTTTTTTCTTTGTTTTCTTTATTTGAGCGCAGTGTTGTGAGAACATATTTCATTAATATTGATACAATTTAATATTTAATGGAAAAACGCTTGCAAAGCTGCACGATTGCACGCAGTATAAAGAATTGTACGTACGTTACTGATGGAGTATCAGGCACGATGAACCTACCACCGGGCGAAAAGATGATCGATGAAATAATGAAACATTATTTTACATCATCAGGTAAACTATGAAGCATGAGTCTTACCAAGTAAAATTAAAAGGGCATTTTACATCCTGATAGAAAAACGTCAAGCTACAAGGACATCGTGGAGCTTCGCTAACTTCCGCATTGCTTGACGTCGCGTCAAAACAACGATGATTATTATTGGCGGCAGCGAATATTCATGTCGTTGGTGATTGGCTAATATTTGAAAGTTTTGTCATTGGTGGCATGGACAAACTATTGTCGTTGTTGATTGGTTTAGACTAAAGAGGATGCTCCGTGACGAGGGCTCGATCAAAATTGTTGTTCCGGGCAAAACCGGACGTGGAACTGGAATAGTTTTGTTTTTCAGTGTTTGTTTTTAAGTCACCTAAGAACAGTGGTTCTTAACCTTATTAGAGGTTCATATGCACATTCATCTAACCCTTCAATAGTGAAAAATTATTATTATTTATATTATTATATACATATTATACATTATTGTACGGTATTTCTAAGCTTACCGGAACTACATTTTGTCCAAAAATAAATCACACTACGGTTTGTTTGTAGCTTCAAAGTGTGCTGGAATCGAAAGCACTTTCTTGCTGTTGCACAGTAGTTTCAACCATTTAGTTCAAATGACGCTTTTAATCGTTCCTTTAATCACTGCTGATAGTAACGATATTGGAAATAATATTCATGAATTAGATCCATAGAGCGTCCGTCGTCCCTTAAAATTCGTTATGTAAATTTAAGTTGTCCTTCTTATGGCACTTTTATTTTGAAGGGTGAGAGCAAAGCCCTGAAAACGGGATGTAGTCAACATGAGCAGCGATCACTGGAACGATTAAAAGCGCCATTAAATGGTTGAAACGGAGGCGCGTTAGAATTGGCGTAGTGGTTCGCCCGAAAGGTGGAATTGAACCACTCTGCCGCTAAGCAGCTACAGGTTTGAAGCCTGCACCCCGGACCACCGAGGCTCATCCGGGCACTAAATTCCTGAATCAGTTGCTTATATATAGAGTAGAAATGCACTGCTGTCACTTAGTGACGGTTTTCAGCTATTGCGGAGCAATGACATATTTTAGTTTGTGTTCGTGAATCATTTTGCCTATATCAAATTACACGCACTCGAAAGCTCAATTCTTTCAAAAAACATTTGAAAAATATACGACATCAGGTAGGTTATGGTTTATGCAAAATACTTGCGTACTGATTGGTTGTGCTGTAGAGGAAAGGCGGAGGCAGAAGACGTCATAACAGGTAACCGGTTTCCAGTTTCATATAATGCGTTGTTTTTAAGTAATAGATAGATAGATAGATAGATAGATAGATAGACAGACAGACAGACAGACAGAGGGCGTTTTGAATATTTCAGTTTGAAAAAAGTATCTGATAAGAAGATTTATTTATTGTCTTACAACTAAGAGATAAACATCCAACCATTATCTGAACCGCTTTTCCTCACATGGGTCGCAGGCGTGCTGGAGCCAATCCCAGCTGTGTTCGGGCATGAGGTGGGGTACACTGGTTGCAAGCCAATCACAGGGCACACATAGACAAAAAAAAAAAAAAAAACATTTGCCCTTAGGATCACACCTACGGACACTTTTGGGCAATCAATAACCTAACATGCATATGTTTGGAACGTGTGAGGAATCCAAAGTAGACTGGAGAAAACCCACGCAGGCCCGGGGAGAACATGCAATCTCCTGACCTCTGTACTGTGAGGCCGATGTGCTAACCAGCTGACCACCGTGCCATCCAAGAGATAAGCAAAAGTACATTCAGCCAAGCATTTCCCCCCTCGTTTCTTTGCTTTCTGACGGATCATAACAGTCGCTTTTCTATACCTTGACGTTGCAACATAGATTACACTCAAAAACCTAACTCTTCACTTTGCTATCTTCGTGTTGATCATGCTATCTTGGGCATCAGACAGTTTTATCACACGCACAATTCAAGTGAGAGGTTTTTCGTTCTTACATTACAAAGGGCAGATGTTTGCTTTTCATGCATGTCTTGTTACAAAAATGAAACAGGACTTTCTTGTTTTAACAATTTTTCCATGACAGGCTCTTGTGGCAGAGGGCAGCACACGTGGGTGTCACAGAGTTTATCACAGGCCAAGCTGCAGGTTGGCACCGGAGGTGGGCATGTTGGACCCTTTGGGAGGGCAGAAGGGGGAGCAAACTCAGGTTGCACTGTGCAGCATCTCACCCCGACGCTCTGCAAGACCTTGGTGACCCCTGACATTAGATCAGCACACCTGAACATGTGAGTGAAAGTCATATTTAGTACAATTCATGTAACGTGTGTCGCCCCAAAAAACTAGTGAGTCACTCCTGCAGTTTGTCATTAATGATGAGTAAACTCTAGTTTATTATGATGCCGTACCGCCCAGTCATTCAAATACGAACAATTTTGCACCCAGAAAATTATTCCAGTCAATGACATGTGATTATTATATTTATATGAATTAATTTTCAGCCTTCAGTGAACCTGAGAAGCATTTTTTAGAAGGTGGGAAGAAGCTGGAGTACCTGTGTATGGGAAAGGCATTGTGACAGAGGATGTGGACCGAGGCCACCATGAACGAGTCGTACAACTCCCAGATGTGGAGCTCATGCACCTCCTCCACCCCAGGCACGCTCCTGATCCGCTCTCTCACATCCGATAGGCTCACGTGAGGAGGCGTGGCTTGCATCAACAGCAGCCCGTACCTGTGCATCTGATGAGGGCTATACATAAATGTCACACACGCCAATACAGCAATACCATGATATTTAAAATGAAAACATGATTAAATAACATTAAAAAAATAAACTGGTTTTGTCACATTACATTAATTGAATGGCCATTGTGTTTTTTGTTTTTTTTTTGGCCACCTTGGAGCAGTATAATACAGACAGCCCAATAAACTGTTCATTGGGACGGCTCAACTCTCAGCTCATCGGAACAGCAATAGCATCCATCCATTCATCCATCCATCCATTTTTTGATCCGCTTTATCCTCATAAGGGTCGCTTGGCATGCTGGAGCCTATCCCAGCTGTCTTCGGGCAGGAGGCAGGGGACACCCTGAACCGGTTGCCAGCCAATCGCAGAGCACACAGAGACAAACAACCATGCACACACTCGCACCTAGGGACAATTTAGAGTGTTCAATCAGCCTGCCATGCATGTTTTTGGAGCGTGGGAGGAAACCGGAGTACCCGGAAAAAAAACATGCACGCCCGGGGAGAACATGCAAACTCCACACAGGGAGGCCGGAGCCGGGATTGAACCCAGTACCTCTGCACTGTGAGGTCGACGCTCTAACCACTCGCCCACCGGGCTGCCAACAGCAATAACATTAGTCATTTTTTGCAGAGGATAAAGAATAGATGACAATGAATATTGTCCATCGTGTGTTGCTGTGAAGTCAGCTCGAAATGTAAATGTTTTTAAATCTGGGTTAACCACCCCACCACCTTATCTATGATTACAGTCTTTCAAACCATTTTTAAAATATTTTTTTTCCAAAATCTTGTTCTTGTATTGCCCATTCTTTTGGTGATTTTACTACTTTTTGTTTCTTTACTTTGCCTATAAATGTCTTTCACTCTTTTATTTATAAACGGTTTTAATTTGGTACTTTTAATCATGTGAAGAAAATAAATTTGCCTTGCCTTGGTGCAGCGTTAGGCTTCAATCCAACGATTAAAGGGTCTCATCATATGCGCTCATTAGCGTTCGCATTGAGATAGTGAACTGAAAGGCTAAGCTGCGTGGCTGTTTTAAAGACACAAAGTGTAATTCTCTTTTTTTGTGCTCACAGTTTGACAGTAATCTTGAACTGAAAACAGGTGAGTGAGTCATAACGTTCGCAAGCTAAGCTGCCGTCAGTTTCAATCAACAGCAGGTGGCAGTACAAGACAAAATGCCATGGATGAATAAAAAATGGTGGAACTTAATTCTTATTCCACGAACGCAACATCAACCAGAGTACCGTGTTTACACTGATGGAGGGAACATATTGTAAATCAAATTTGGGACCTGACTTCGAATTTTAAATCACACTCCTGTAAAATGAATCAAATGGAGTGAGCCTGCATTCATTTTCATTGGCTCACATGGTCATACCTGCGGCACAGCTCCGGCCACCAGAATGATTGCAGCCAAAATTGCAAAGCTCGGATCCAGGTACACCAGGAGGCTGCAGGCCTCCGGGAAATGTGGGTAGTCGGGCCCCACCAGCAGCATGACCAAACCATTGACCAAGACCAGAACTGATGTGCACAGATGCTGCACCACCATCACCATAGAAGCGGCACACATAGTCAGCGGCTGCCTGTTTCCCTGAGGGTGTTCTTTGACTGTCTTGAGCTCCTCCGCCGTCTTCTCAGCATCCACGCCTCTTGTTGAGATCACCCGGTTGCAGAAGATGAGATCCCCGTTACGGAGAGAGCGCGCAGTCGTCCCATGCTGAACCCCACCGGCTTCACACGGGCCTCGCACGGCCTCACCCGCCCCTTCGGAGCCCTCCTGAGACATGGCTGTGAGAGAGAATAAAAAACAAACAACTACTTCAAAGCAAAAAAGCCTCACCTGAAAATACACTCCACTGTACGTCAAAATAAGAGCACACCTGAACATACATTATACTATACTTCAAAGTTCACACATGGACAAACTTGTTGGAACCATCGAGTACCATTCAAGAAATAATCCAACATCCCCTCTAGAAAATATTTAAGGCTTTTCGATAGATGGGGTGTGATACGATTCAAGAACACTTCCAATTCAATTTTATATGGAGTTTCTTGTTCTCATTTGACAGACATGAGTGAACTTGTCAGTTCCGTAAATGTGGCGTTTCTTTCAAAGATATATCTCTCCAGTAAAAGACCATTTGGTATGTATCTCAACATATTTTAAAGTGGAACAATTTAATTTGATTCGATTTGCTGCACTTATATATATATATATGTATACCGTATATATATATATATATATATATATATATATATATATGTTATAAAAATGTTTTGAATTGACTAATCTAATTGTTCGAGTTTTTTTTTTTAATCGAGAAATGCTTTGTATACTCTTTTAATGCAGAGATATTTGTTTGCGGCTTTCACTACAAATTAGGACACGCAAACGCGTGCGCGCGCATGCACATGCACACGCACACACGCCCACACACACACACACACACACACACACACACACACACACACACACACACACACACACACACACACACACACACACACACACACACACACACAGGCTCCCTCTCCAATATGGTTACTATTGTCTCAGAAGGAATACACACATTTATGCACGGTTTCACATTCTGTGTATTTGTGGTCACTTTTGAAATCGTCATGAAATTATACAGTATAGGGAAATATTTTTTGCTGCCTTCAAAAGTCAACAATGGACCCAAAGAAGTTTGAAGTGATACCTTTGTGGTTGACTTCAATGTAACACTCATGCTCCCCTCCAGCACAGGCCTGGGCCCCCCGACGTTGCCGTGTCATCCCGAACACCGCGACGTTGTGCAACACACCGACGACCCCCACCGCCACGAGCAGCCAGGGCCGCTCCACAGGATGCATCTCCACAGACGAGCTGACCATTTCCAACAGGCAGGAGACACACAAAGAGGTGAGCAGCAGGGCTGAGATAAAGACCCCCACCGGCTGTCTCCTGCCGACAGGGTGGAACACGGCACACCCGAGAGGGCTGACGGGATCAGTCGTCTCTGAATACGGCCGAGTGCTTGACCCGGAGGGACTTGCTGGCTTTTGAGGATGAGGTAGAGCCATGTGACCGAGGACAAAGAGTGTGTGGAAGCCATCCATCAGCAAGATGAAGGACCTGCACAGCTGACCGGTTATCAGTTTCAGAACCAGCACAAGGATGGTGATGCCCAGCTGGCACCACTGTGACACCTTCTTCATATCTGTCTTGTTAGAAAAAAAAAGACAAAAAAGAACAAAACAAAACAAAAAAAAAGACATAATGAATGTAGAATGTAAAGAATGAAACTGCTTGTGTATCATGATTTAATGCCACAATCCAATTCAAAGTGCTGCTCCTTCAGGTGCACCCGCCTTGGCGACAGGGAGACAGTATAAAACAGTCTCATGCAGACACAAAGAAGAATTGTACTTCTACCACTACTTTAAGTGACTCGGATGTTTTTAATAATTGTCATTATTCGTGGAAGATTCAGAATATGTGACTGTGATTACTGTTACTGTATTATATTATCCAACACAGGTGTTGCTCCAGTCAGTGTGTTCAATTACCTGTTGTTTCCAAAACTGCCACTATTGATGCTGAACGTTAGCATGTCATTGGCGTTTTGATTGTCCAAAGTAATTTTCAGATATTAAATATACCTAAGTTTTGGAAGCAATTTATAACAATATTATTCTATTTATCTACAGCACTTTAGTGTAGTTACAGATCTTCACTACTGCTAATGAGTAAAATTAAGCTGACCATCACGTGACGCTGGCGTCTGCTGGCTACAAGCTTGAAGGAGCGACAAACAAAATGTATCAGAGTATAAGCACTTCATATGTATTTTATTAAGGAAATATCGCGGAGCACAAGAGAATTTTTACAAAAATATAAATAACAAAGTAAATAAAAGTTACGTAAGAATCACACTTGGGTACGGTAACAAAGTATTTGCACTCTGTTACATTACAAGACCGCCCTGAATGCAATTTGTATGTAATGCGTTCATGATTCTGCTCATTCTGGATGCAGTGTTAATGCTTGACCGTTCTCTCCGTTTGAAGTACTTTGCTACCATCTTGTGGCACTTCGAAGTTGAATGAAATTGAAACGTGCTAAGCAAATGCATTTTAATTGTCTAAAATAAACATTCATTCAACATCATGCAGATTCAGTAATTATTTGCGAATCACGAGTAGACATACGTGCACGGTAAGGTCAATAATATATTAGTGCTTGAGGATGCATGAGTTTGTACTTTGTACAAGTAGTACATTTGTACTACTTGTACAAAGTACAAATGCCACATTGATAAACAATTGACCTAGCGTTCGCATATTTGCAGTGCTACATTTAGAACATGGAAAAAGTCATCATTACCTGCGAGGAAGAGGACCTGTGAGAGATAGTGAGTGGACGCTCGTGTGTGCTCGAATCCAGAATCTTTCTTTCATTGTGTGCAACATTTCCACACTCCTCCTCCTTCACACCGTTACTCCCTCCTCTTCCTCTTCCACTCTTCACTCTTCTAATCTCTGTCATGTGAGACAGGGGGAGACAGTCGCAATCGTCCTCCCTCCTATCTATCTTTCTGTCTGTCGATCGTCTTACAACAGTCTCAAATAGTGGGGCAATGCCAGCGGGGTGGCGTGTACTTTGGGGAACATGCTTTTTTTGGCCGGACGAGAATAAAGTGCAATTGCACAACTACTACAGCAGTTGGCAGTGGCGCTCTCATTGTCAGAGAATGCGCAGGGAGTAAAGTATTAAGATCTCTGGTGGTTTTTTTTTTTGGGGGGGGGGGTTGCACCGAACAGGTGATATGAAGTTCAGCAAAAAAAAACCTCAAGAGACAACATGAAAAAAATGAACAGGGATGCGTTTTTTTTTTTTTTTTTTCGCTTGGCTTCACAGTGACTGCAGTGGGAGACGAGGAGAGACCACCGGTGTGTATGCCGTGTCTAAAAATGATGGCAGCGGACAGCGTGGAGCCAAATAAATCAAGGGGCCACTTAAAGACATGACACCCCAGTCACGCTGATAAACCGCTGTAAAAGCTGTGCACTGCAAAAAAACGTGCTGGTTGTAACTGTGAATCCTGACTCTGTTTTGATTTAAAAAAATAATAAAGAAAAAAAATCTGCACAAATTATTTTGTTCATTTTTGTTTTGCAGACTAATGTGTTTTATTGCCTTGGTGGAGCGATGCAAAAAAGTCCTGATAAAAACTCATTGTGTTGTACGATTACATAATCACATCATCAGGTGCAGGGAACTGCTTTCTTAGTGGGGGGCGGGGGGAGGGGGGGTCAGTGAGTATTAAAAAGCTTGTGCCGGGGTCCGGGGCCAGGGAGTTTTATCAGAACACGACATGTTTAAACTAATAGCGTCACGTTTCTGTTTCCCTGGCCATGGATACAAAAGTGCATGTCCAAGTAGAGTATTCCTCCTCTGTTCCCAGGAATGAAGCGAAAGCTTTCCTTTCCGTCCAGTGGACTGCGAGTCAACAGGTCAGATGGGGTCTGACACCGTGGATAAATCCCCACTGTTCTCCAGTCTGCCGTCACATTCCTGAAGTACAACTAAGCCCACCCGGAGACCCAGCAAGGACACTTTTGATCGCTCCCTACGTTGCTCACCCCCCCAGGATGGTGCACGGGACGAGAAGCATGGATGGCCCATTTGTACCCTCTTTTCCCCTTCATACACAACAGGAAAAAACACCAATTGCATTGTGTTGTGGTAGTATTTAGGTGTTGCACATTAACTCTCAATAATTACCACAGTTTTAAAAGTATAAGTCAGTTGATTTGTACAAATGAATTTCCACAGCATTAAATACACCATGGACCACTTTGAGGACAGTAATTATAAAGTGGAGAATACCGACTACCAAGAACTGGACTTCCCTCCAAAATTCATGGCATGTAAAGAGGCCAACAGCAACAATTGAGCTCCAGGAATTTCTGGCAAGTACTGACTGTTTAGTACACGTGACTACAATCTCCTCATGTCTGGGATATGGGGTAGGTTGGCAAGACCTGGTTCCATTTTGCAAAAACATAAAAAAATCTCCAAAGGACATATGGGAAAACGTGAAATAGCTCAAGAAAACCCAGATTAATTTTTTTGGGTTGTAATCCCCAACACTATTCATAACCTAAAATGTCATACCTATTGTGAATGATGATGATGATGGTGGCAGCATCATTATTTAGGGTTGTTGTTCCTCAGCTAGAACTGTCGTTGATGAATGAAATGATGAACATTTCTAAATACCAGTCAGTGTTAGCACAAAATCTTCAGGCTTCCCCAAAGAAGGAAAAAGAGAAAGGTTCCGGAGAAGCCTACTAAAACATCTAAACCTCAATTAATCAGCAGCACCTTAAATGGCAGATGTGTGGCGATTCTCACTTAACACGAGTTTAAATCTGATTGATTACTTCTGAACACAACGACATCCATCGCGTCAAAACAGTTCAGACTTGTGCAACTTTCTCAATGCATTTGAAATGGTATATTTTGATTCCAACAACATTTCAACAGGACATTGTTATTAAATAATATTGAAAGCATGCATCCATTATTGTTGGATTAATGTAGTAATTTTGACTCCCCCAATTGTTTAATTATAATGCATGTATTAATTTCTTATTGATGTAGTTAAACAAATTACACAAAAAAGAACCGTAGGAAATTAAACAATGATAATCATACGGCACATATGTTAGTTTATTTCTTAAATCATAGGTTAACAGCCCAATATTCCTAACTTGATACGAATCACGGAAAAAAATCAACTAAAAGTCAATCGTAGAGTCATTACATGCATTTATTTGAGTGGAACAAATTTCGCCGTACATATCTTTGTGATTACCAGCACAGTTCTGAATTAAGTTAACAATTTATTAAAAAGGTCTAAAAATTAAAGCATTTACAAACAGTGGGGATGCAAAACGAGAAGCGTCTTGCTTGGTGGAGTCATGTGACTTGGCGAGCAGCAGCGTGTTGCAGCGGTGCCCTCTGGCGGCCATTTGGCGTCAACGGCACCACGTGACATGTTGCTTCCGGGTTACTTGATTTGCTTTGTCAGGAATGCACCCCGACTGCTACTGAACAAGTCAAGCACACCAAACTTGCCCCCCCCCCCGCATTCCTCTAATTGAAATATATAAATCCAATACAGGGTGGGGTTTTAAAACAAATCAAGGAGTGGGGGCTGGATAAATCCCAAAACTCATCAAATAAATACAAATGATTTGTCAAAGGTGCACCCCCCCTCCAAAAAAAAGAGGAAAAAAAACGTGAAATGGGTGAAGAAAAGGAGGAAGAGGAGATGATTTATTGATTTGAGCAACCTGAAAAGCAAGCACTGGGGGTTGTGGCTTCAGGTTTGGTTTGTGTTGATTCCTGAGGGGCCAAAGTGACAACCAGACAAGACGAAAACCGGAAGGCGGGATCACTTTGGCGCAGGTCCCTTGAAACTCGGAACAAGGATGAGAAGGACAAAAAATAAGACCCCTTGATGGTCACTGAATGCAGTGCTGTGACATTAAAGCCGGGAGGTGTGCTCAGCAGGGTCCACAATTGTTATTATTTGTGTGTTGCCCGAGCTAGCACTGAAAGCTTTCCTGATGGCACCCGCACACGCGCGCACACATGCACACCCGATTGGTCTTTGGTTAGTGTTTTTCTTCTTGCTCCCGTCCGTCCTTGTTGCCATGGAAAGAATTGCAAAAAAGAATGTGATGACAGCATGGTTACTTGGTCTTTGTTCCCCTTGCACACACGCTTCAGTGGTTGTAGTGACGTCACGTTTATTTATTTATTTTTTTCATTATTTGTGTGTGTGTGTGTGTGTGTTCGTGTCCTTCGATAATTAGCAGAACTCGTTGCGAACATTTGAGCGTTTTTGACTCTTGCGTCCTTTGGAAGAGATGCCTGGATTTGCTAAGGTCAGAGAACTAGTTCTGGATTCTCTCCTGTCCTCACAGGACCTGCGGAAGACAGGAAGTTAGCTGAGAACACTTTGTGGAATGGAAGCTGTGGTGAAAAGTAGTGTTAGAACCTGAAATGTTGACATATTGGTAGGACTGCAGCGCTTGGGCATTTTCATCCCATTTGGATTGAGCCTCAAAACCTGAGACGGCATCACAGTTGTTCCATAGCAGCGTGCCGGTAAATGTTTGGTGTGCAGCAAAGCGAAATGGATTTTTTTGAAGCCCCTGCCAATTTCGATATTTGGCTGGATAATATTTGGATAACCGGTAACGTTGACAATTAAAAAAAGTATATCATGAATAAAATAACTTTTTGATCTATTTGAGCTCACAACAAAAAAGATATACATTGCAGGCAGAACAGTGTATTGTTTTACAAAATTTTGTCCTGCAGTATGTTCAGCTTTAGAACAGAGAAAAATCGGCAATAATTATCCAAATTTCAGGGGTGGGACTAGGGCGAATGTTTGAATGTCATGATCTTTGTATTATGTCATAATTTGCTAATGGGTAAAAAAAATAAAATACATTAAAAAAAAAAAAAACAGCATAAATAGTCCGATATTTGCCGATTTAAAAAAGAGCTAATATCATCCTGGCCCTTCTCATTACTATACAACCGCAGTACTGGTGTGCCTTTACGGGGTGTTGCCTGGTGAATGAGGTCAGAAGTTGGAGTCAGTCAGAATGGCCAGTTACCATGCAATTAATTCTGTGTGAGTATCTGCTCCATGCTCCTTAGCAGTGTTTTCATTTGTGATTTTTTTGGGGGGGAGGGGTAATGAATGTTTGAATGTCATTATTATTGTTGTATTACGTTATTGTGCAAAAAAAAAAAAATCAGCCCATTTTTGCCAAGTTTAAAATGGCTAATATCAGCCAATTAAATCAGCCATCCGGTTAATCTAATTTTTTTCCAATACGGTCAAGTTCAGTCGTGTTTGGCGGCCCCTAGAAACCACTGTGTGTGTATCCCGCTTTAAATGCTGAGTTTCACCTGTCAAACCTTTTTTCATGGTGCATCTCTGCCGGTGTCCAAACTGGCTTCCAGAAGGAGCTCCTCCAGGTCTTGTGTGCAGCTCACACTCACTACAGAGCCAACAACAAAACACGCACATTAAATATTCATTCATGCATTCGAGTATCAAGTGTCATGGCTCATACACGCACACACCGTGTTCCATGACACAGCTGCCAGGTTTGGGGCTGTCCGTGTCGAGGAGGTGGAGAGAGAATTCGGGCTTCACGCCGTTGGGCAAAAGTGAACTGGCGACCTCCGGCTCGCCCTCGTCGGCGGAGCTCTCATCGGCGGAGTCCTCCGGTTCAGGTTGGACGGCAGTGACGGATGTCGGTTGGTCGGAGGGGACGGGCTGTGCTACTTCCTGTTCATCTAGCTCAGTTTGATGATGTTCCCCATCCAGTTTTAGACTGTGGCTGTCGTTTGTAGTCACAGTCAAGGAGCTGGCGTTCACGTCTTTTGTGTCGTCATGATGTTCGGAGCCTTGCGTTAGTTGGTCCTGCGTGGATGCTGAGGTCTGGATTTCCTCTTCGGAGTCGCCACTTGTGGCTTCCGGCGTCGCCGCTCTACTCTCCTCCACTAGAAGAGCTTCTTTCAGTTCCTCATCGGGGCTCTCTGGTTTGAGGGCTGCAGGCTGAGCAGACGAAAGGCTTAAATTCGAGGCTGGTGATTGTTGACTTGTCGGTGGCGGCTCTAAAGTGGTGCCAATGACATCGTGGTCGCGGCTGGGCTCTTGCGTGCGCTTCGGCGTGGTGCCGTGTAAGTTTTCGTGCGTCGGCTGCATTTGCTTGGCTGAGGCTGCGTCGGTTTCTGAAGTCTCCTTCAATGGCTCCTGGGTGTGGCCTGCGCCCATCTGAGCCTCTGGTGGACTCTCCACCCGAGTCACCATGAAGATCTTGTGACCCCGCCCGGGACTGGAGACGGATATGCAGCGGCCCGGAGAGGGAGGCGTGCCTGGAGAAACCGGGCTGTCGGTAACGGTGATTCCTGAAATGATGTTCGTTGAGGGCGGCGGGGATGCTTGTGAGGGACTCAACGTGGGTGCAACCACTTCAGTTTGAGTGGGAGTCGGACTTTGAAGCGTGTTTGACTCTGACGAGGCCTTCGTGATGACTTCCTCCTCATCTTCAGTGTCGGAGTCAGAGTCCAGGTTCAACGGAGAAACACTCACCTCGGTGCTTGCCTTCGCCTCGCTGCTCGGCTGTCCTTCGCTTCCTGTTTGATCCCCTCGTTTCCGGTCATTGCTTTCCTCCCCTTCTTCTTCTCTTGTTCCGTCTTCGGTGGCAATTTCGGCCATGGATGCCGACTGCCTCATCATTTGCTCCGTTTCCTCCCTCTCCTTGGCCAGGATGAAGTTCCTCTTGCAGCCGTTCTGGATTTCAGCCAGCAAGGCACGCTGGGTCTCAATGAAACTCTTCACCTGTAGGACAAAAATACATCTTCAAAGTGCAACAGAACCATGCAAAGATTCATTCTCAAAGTCACAATTTCAAGATTTTGCACCTGTTTAGCACTGTGGTGAATGAAGTAAAGTAGCCCCCCTTATTGCGGGTTCCTTGTTTGCGGTCACGCTAGAGTCCAGACTTTTTTCTGTACGGTACCTCTACTTTGTTCTGCATCCCATTTATTTTTGGCGTAATTCCACTGTGGACCACCAGGTGGCGGCACACAATTATATGCCAGCACACACTTGCTTTGAGTGTGGCAATTATTGCCATGAATGCAATTGTACCATATAAATATGCTAAATATTAAATAATCAAGCCAACTTAGCGTATCATATTATTAATATAAAAGGGCCAGTACCGGTTCTGACATGGCAATCCCAACTCGACTTGATGGGCCACCACTTAAAAAGGCTTCATGTCTGACCCTGGTCATTCAATGCAAACCCTGGATCGCAACGATTCAAATTCAAACAAAGCATGAAGTCCACAGTTGAGGCTTTTTTTTTTGTAGATTTCTAGTATTATAGTGAAAAACAATCAGCATTTTTTAAAGCTGAATTTACACAGCATGATTGAAGTGGCTTAATTGTGACATGCGTCTAACAGCATAAATAACCTGCATGGAATCGGATATCTTCAGACTGGAATCAGACCTCTTTCTAATGCCTATAAAAATCCAATAGGAATCGGAGCCTCAGAAAGAAAAAATGGGATATACGCTGTCAGTACGAGCTTGACTTGCTCAGGCGTACATTTCTGGGGGGAAAATGAATTCAACTAGTAAAACTCCAAAGTATTACAACAATATAAAAGCAATGTGAATACATTTTTTTGGGTCTCCACAGTGCAGTAGCCTTCTTTTTAATACACAATATCTAATCTTTCCGCAAACTGTTAATTATTGACTAGCATATTCTCACAGTTTCTTTCTTGGGCTCCCGGTCTAGGTCGAGGCGCAGCAGAGAGGTGTTGACTTTCAAGGCGAGCGACAGCGCCATCAGTCCACCTGTCTTGATCTCATTTTCTCGCAGATCCAGACGCAGCAACCTCGGGCTCTCGGCGATAAATTCGGCCACCGCTACCGCCCCTACCGCGGACAAGGCCGGGGAAGAAAAGCGTTGGGGTGAAAAATGCACAAATAGCTTAAATTGTGAAACTCGGAACATGCTTCATTTGTCACCTTCACAGGACAGTTTAGTGGAGGCGAGGCCCAGTCTGAGCACAGAGCGATTGGCGATCAGTCCATCTTTCAGCTTGTGGATGCCTTCATTGCCCACTGAGTTATGACCAAGGTTCAGTGTCTCCAGACTCTGGGTGCAAGGCTGAGAGAATGTAAAACAAGCAAGCACTTAAGTCATCAGACATTTGAAAGATACGACAGGTTAGTGTTGAACATTTTTGAGAAGTATCTAATTGTGATTACATGAAACAATATGTTAACATGAAGATTGGACTTGCTCAGCACGGAACTTTTCCCGACACCATATAAATTAATAAATAAAATATAAATATTTTAAAAATGAAGCGCACCAAGTGACAGGAATCAATGGCATACAAGACTACGAAATATAGATTTTAGGAATAAAACCTCTGGCTTGTTTTTGTTTTGAAGAACATTTAGGCCAATGTGGGGTCCGCGAAAGCGTCATACTAATTTAAGACAGTACTTATAAAAAGTGTGACAACAACTGCACTGGAACAGGGAGAGGTGTGGCATTTCAATCCAAATGTGCGGCCAACCATGAAAATGATAAAAACCAACAAAACAAAGTTTGCGCTGCTCTGACAAGCGGGCATTCAGCGTCGTCTAAATGAGGAAGCACAAACAATGAGCTCCTTATTGGCCAGCATCAACGCGACGAGGATGAGATGACTCCTCAAAACAAACGACACCAATGAATTCAGTTTTTGAACATCTTCGGCGGTTAATGCGGTGCAAATGCCGCAGATTTCCTCAAGTCGTGGCAGCTCTACGCTATTAAACACTCGTGTCGTGCGGCTTTAAAGATGCCGCCATTTTGCCAAGATGAGCTTTAAACAAAATTAGATAAGTCAAATAGATGAGACAAAAATATTTTTGATCATTTATGGTCCGGCGGTTTACTTCATTGCCCTCTACTGTTTCTTGACACTCGTCGCTCCAATTCTATTATATTGTCTTGCTGTCATCTTTCAATTTAACAGAGCTGGTGTGAGTGTGTGTATACCAGTGCAGCAGCAAGGTAGCCCATGCCATTGTGTGTCAGCTGGTTGTTCCATAGCACCAATGTGACGAGGCCTTTCCTCTGCTCTTTTAGTCCTTCACACACATAGGCCAAACCTGTGACAACAACCCCACACATGCACACCAAACACAGTCAGTCAGTCCATCTGTGTCCTGCTAAAGCTAGCAAAATATCATTAGCAGCAGCATCCAAGTGGGCACGGATTCATGAGCACGAAGACATTGTTCTGCAACGCGTCAACACATTGTGGCAAATGGGGCCGTACAAAATGAGGAACAAGTCGATAAAAAAAAAAGAGAGAACGCCCCAACAAAAATAACTCGGGATGAATCGTTCAGACCGCGATGATAAAATTATATCATCCGCATTCATATTCATCAACCACGACTCAAGTCTCCAGCTGAGAGATATTTTTGTGTTCTGTGTGCATCGGTTACATAAATGGAGATTAAATAAATATGTGGGCACCAGAGAGTTGGATGCTGATGAACTCATGAGTCCCTCTAGTATTCAAACGCATCAAAAGAGATGCCGGAGTGTTTTTGCCAACATGGATATTTCAGGTTTTACAACAACATTATCATCGCTTTATACAGAAGGATTGGGATGGAGTTGATCTTGTTATGTATGAGTTCCCATTGATCATCACGACGATGGCTGCAGCTATCGAACATTTTTAGAATCGATTATCATCCTATTGATTAATCAGGTAATAGCTTACAAATTGATTCCTGCATTATTAACTCTTTTATTCCCCATGATGGATAAGTGTGTCTTGAAAAACCACGACGGCCACCTCCCTAAGACGTATTTTTTTACATCTTTTCCTTTGTTTTTTTTCTTTTTTGCATCATCGTGTGCAGAAGGGTCTGACGCAGCCTCTGACTCATGATCAGGCTTGTCCGCATTGTAAAAGATTTAAAATCTGGCCAGCATGTGACAGGTGTAAGGGATCAGCCAGGACCATGTTGCAGAAAAAGTTGAAGTAGAGGGGGAGGGATGCATAGGGAGAGTTGTGCAGTAGCATGGAGTTACTACAAAGTGTATTCGAACCAGTAGCGATGGAGAATTCAAAACAATAAACCCTTGAGGATTGCGTGTGGTGAAGAAAATCTTCCACCAAGCATGACAGGGGAGATGGAGTTGCTGAAAGCAGGACGCTTCGTCTAGGCAAAAGGAAGAAGCAGCCGTCAAAGGAGACGCTCCGGGTGCACGATCATCCCGTGCCCCCCGTATAGCTTCTGATTCGGCTTGCACGGGCAGTCCACAAGCACAAACTTCAACATTTGCTGCAGACCACAAAAGCCACATCGCCACAAAGGTGCTGGGTTTGCCCTCGCAAAGGCAAGCGAAGTGAAAGCAAAATGTGAAGTATAAAATGTTGTGTGCCCTTGCATCAGGGCAATTGCTTCATTTTGGACCACGCCAAAAAAAATGATGTATAAATTGCAGGGTACAGAGGACACGGACATGCAAACATACTGTACATGTGCAGACACTCAGTGAACTCTTGTGTTCATCGTTCATTCCATCCGTTCATCCATTCCATTCCATTTTACAGTTACATTAGTCAAAAAAAAAAAAAAAAAAGATCATTGCAAGCTGTGAGACAGGAATGACACTTTTAACTTTTTGTTGTAATTTAATTGTTCGAGCGATTCAATTAATTGTTTTGGCCCTAAATGACCAATAAATGGATTAATACGGGCTGCAACAGTACCTGAGTCCAGGATGTGGTTGTTGCGCAGGTCCAGAATTTGGATGTTGTAGTTGAACTTGAGCAGGTTGCCGAGCTGGGCTGAATCCTGCAGGCCGTTGAGCTTGTTGTCGGCAAGGTACAACTCCCGCAGGTTCATGTTCATCTTCAGAGCCGTTGCTAAAAACACGACATGAAATGATTTCATTCATTCAATTCATTGAACACGGTCATTGATGTGGTTTGTCCCACGCTTACCCAGCAACATGAGCGGTCTGCCGGACAAGCCGGCATTCTCCAGGTGCAGGACCGCCAGGCTGCCGCTGATCCTGAGCGCTCGAGCCACAAAGGGAGCCGAGTGGTCCAGTAGTGGCGTGTTTCTTGCATCCAGATACTGCAGAGAGCTTGTCTGTGGTGGTAGAAAACAATCGTGTACCAATAAGGAAAATTTGTTTTCTACAGATGAACACGATTACCTTATCAGCTACTCATTTGCTGTTAAATTAGCCAGCAACCTTGCGCAAGCGGCATTCACATTTTGCAGTTTGGACAGGGAGGGGTGAACGAACCTTTCATCTGGAGGGAGTCTCAAAAAACCCCCACAATAAATCGTTCATCACTTTTTTTTTCCTCCAAATAGTTGCCACAGGGGTCGGAAAAATTAGTACGTGCCCTAGCTCCGCCCACTGGTCTTCGTGGTGACAAAAGCGATAATTGTGTATCTTCACAGAACAATGTCAGAGACATCAAAATGTTCCAGACGACTAATTTCAAGGATAGACCCCCCCCTCCGGAAAAAAAAAGAAAAATTGTCTATTCCAAAACAATATAGCCTATTGACTATTCATCATTGTATGCTACTACATACAGAATGTGACGTAAAACTCATATACGATAAAGATAACGTCGGCTTATATTCAATGCTAACTGTCCTCATGAATGACATTCAAGCTTCATCAAAATTGGAGTACCAGACACAATTTTTGGTACATATTGCAATCTCAAGCCATGTTAAAAACAGACAAATAATAATAAGCTCTATGCACAGCACAACAGAAGCTGCAATGGAGGCTACGGCTTACCTTCCTCATCATGTGAGCGGCGGCTTGCCATCCCCGCGTGCCGATGTGCTTGTTGAAGGAGATGTTGAGGTGTGTGGCTGACTCGTAGTACTCGATCATGTCAAACAGAGCCGAGGCGCCCTGAGAAGCAGATGGCAACAATCAATCGACAGGTAACCAACGTTGAACAATGTTAGACAAATATGATGGTTCAAGCCTTTGCTGGATGCTAGGATCGCTGTAGTCATCGTGGTAACTGTTGCATGACAGGGGCTGACTTTTTCCCGTATTTCGGAGGCTGAAGAGCAGATGTGGACTAAGCACTTGCAGACCAGTTGTAGCTCGGGATTCGTTATCGGCAGATAATCAAAACCAAGTGACTGAGTGTCGGGTGAGGGGACAAAAAAAGATCGGGATCTCCCTATCTATTACTGCATATTATTTATGAACCACAGCAAGTTGTCCTGGTCCTGAGGTAGCAAAGCAGCAACGCCACACTGCTGTCTTTTTATCAAATGCTGTGCCATTTTAACGCCAGATGTAACGGGCCACACATCTTCCAAAAAGTTATATTTTTGACTCATCAGTCCACAGAATTTCTTTCCAAGTCTTGAGGATCATCAAGATGTCTTTTGGCAAATGTGAGACGAATCATTGTGTTTTTGGACAGCAGTGGTTTTCGCCTGGGAACTCTCCCACGGATCCCATTTTTGGCCGGTGTCTTTCTTATGGTAGAGTCATGAACACTGACCTGAACTCAAGCCAACGAGGTCGAGAGTTCTTTGGATGTTGTTCTAGGTTCTTTTGCAACATTTCCTGTATGAGTCGCCGTAATTTTAGCTGGTCGACTCTTGGGAATGTTTGCCACCGTTCCAGGTTTTCTCTATTTGTGGATAATGGTTCCAACAGTGGTTCGCTGCAGCCCCACAGTCTTGGAAATGTCTTTGTAACCTTTTCCAGACTGATATATTTCAAAACATTTCTTTCCCTAATTTCTTGAATTTACAAATACTTTTCACGACACTGTACGCGCGTGTGTGTGCGTGTGTGTATATCTGCGGGGCGGCTGAAAGCGAGTCACATCGAATTCAAAAGCCGTCCACCCTATCTGGTTTTAACGGATGGCTTTTGAAAATGATCTATGCTGTAGATCCTCATATATCACTTGTAAGTGTCAATCTATTCTCATCACACCATCTGGATGTGATGAACTCACCCCCTTCAATAGATCCATTTGCTGTCTTGCCTTCGCCTTCCCTTTCAGGTTCTTATTTCAGTTGCGCTCATCCACCTCAGGCTGAGGTGATGCTATTTGGTGACTCATTCCCTTCCCGGGGCTTTTGGCCTACATTGGATGAAGAGGGGCATGTGCATCTGAAAACGACGGGTTTGTTTGGCTGTCTGCATATATTTGTAGGGCAAGAATTGTGAGGGGAGCGGAACAAAACAGCATGGAGTAATTAAAGTGCGCTTTCCATGCCGGTACGACCTCAGTCTGGCTGCGAGCAAAATTTGTGTCTGCGACTGGAAATAAACTTCACGGTGTTTTACAGTTTGCGATCTTGTGACAGGATGCGTCCCTCAGGTCTACATTATAGTACCTGCCTCTTATCTGCCTGCAGCCCCAAAGGGGATGTGGTAGAATCAAAAATGACACACACTCAACCCCTTGGTCACACCAGTCTGGAGTATCGAGAATTAAAACAAATTTCATCTTACATCTTCATCTAAGTTGGTCTGCTCCAGGTCTATCACTTTAAACTGGACTCTCTTTAAAACTTCTTCCAGGGACTCGCAAGCCTTGTAGTCCAATTTTTCACCTGTGCACAAACAGACACGGCCCGTGTATTATGATTTGCAGGACAAAATGATTTACAGTGGGACCTCCAACGTTCAACACGTTCAAAAGTCGTACATTTTAAACAACTAAGTCAAAAATAAGTTGATCACAATCGACCGGTGCGTATGGAAAAATGATGCCCGTAAAGCCCAGAGGTGGAAATTTTGCTTTGACTTTTTGGAGGGGATTTAATGATCAGTTATTGGATTAATTCTTTCAGCCCTAGGTACAGTCAAGCACATATTTTAAACATTACTTCCTATGGGGAAAAAAATGTTGAAAGTAGTGCCATAGAATGGCTTGAGTTCAACTTTAGAGGGTTCGCTATACTGTGTAGGTTGTCATCAAATATAAGCACTTCATCGGATAAACTTGTGCCAATTTGCAGTTTTTGGATGCTTACCTTTTAGATCCAAGCATTCATTTCGCTGGGTCAGGTCTTTAAGTTCCTGTAATAATAATTAAAATACAACAACAGCACAAGTGAGAAACAAAGCGCTTTCTTGTGAAATCACATCTTGCGCTGCACATTTTGAAACATCTCCATACCGCACAAACCACTGTGAGAAAAAAAAAATTGAAACAAACTTCCCCTTACGTAATCCGAGATAAACATTTTGCTTGATAAATCTGGTGCTTTCCTGTTCTCTGTGTTTCTGTGTCGATGCGCATGTCACTGCGAACGTTACGTATTCCGCTAATGAGCAGTCGGTATGAACTCTGTGACAGTTAAGGCCGTCGGGCAGCGCATCACACTTTAAACAAAACTATTTTTTGCCTCTTGCCCCGGTGATACACTCGCCCATGCAAACACTGGGAGTGCTGCCCTCGAAACTATGTGCCAGCAAATAGTTGGCTCTCCATCCCATTCAGCATGAACTCCATTACCTCTGCCCCCGTGCCACACTGCTGGTAATTATCTGAGCCCGACTGGACGTGCTGACACCCCCCCAGCCCCCGCGTGACTCAACAGGTCTTAATAAGCTCATTTGACATTATGAAACATATATCCTATGGTATATAAGAGAGGGTAATAAAGATAAAATACAGAAAGTTAGGGTTTGGTCATTTATATATTACAGGACCACCTCAATCATTAAATTAACAAACAAGATGTCTGTGTTTACATGGCAACGTAGGTGAACGTCGGCCAGCACAGTGGAAGTGACTTTCTTGATTTGCCCATTCCAACTTCAAATGCGATTTAAAACACAGCTCATACAGTTTACTGAGGTTCAATAAAAGGTGGCAGTTTGACACTGCATGGAATTGGTTTCTAACTATATACAAACTGGAGGTGGACCAGCATCCCAGGAAAGATTGCGTTCAACCTCAAAAGTTCCACAGTCTAGCATACATACGGTATGCTGCCCGGCGACAAAACCCTGGGATTCTTTGTAACAATGACCAAAGATGCCGGTGGCAGTTTCAGTAGCAAAGATATTCACCACACAGCTGCTAAACAATCATATTTATACACATCAAGTGACACAAACAACCGGCCTGAAATGCACATATCATGTCAGGCCCCTGGCAAGCGGCCGCATGCATGACAAACACAGAATACACATTCACAGAAAGAGGCAAGGTCTGCATGGTGACTGAACTCTTCTCACAAAATCCCTAAAAGGGGCCAACGGTTCTTGTCTGACAGTCTTGTTTACATGGTTGCTTCCTGAAATGATGACTCAGCATAAATGTAAAAAAAAATAAATTAAAAAAAGCTGTTGGGAGAAGTGGTAAGCATCACAAATATGATAAATAACAAACAAGATGGGTGTATAGTTGAAAAAAAAAACCCCAAAAAAAACCAAAGAGGTACCAACTGAAGAAATGGTTTCTCAGAATATGACTGGGAAGGAAAGAGGGGCTGGTGATTCGGGCCGAGATACTGGGCCAGTGGAAATGTACCCAGATCATAAAGTGAAGGCCTGAGCATCAGCTTCGCAGTGTGATGTGTTTTTCCTCAAGTAACTGTGACGTTAACTCTCGGTTGACCGGGCGTGAGGGGGATTCCTTTGTTGAGTGTCTCGACCTACCGGTAACCATTTAGAGCTCCTTCTTCAATGGGGAGGGGGGCCTTGTAACTAGGGCAAAAACTGATTCAAATACACAGCGATCACGTGTGCTAATTCACATACACAGGCAATCCTCACCACGCTGGATTTGAGGAACTGCTCCTACAGAGGGATTATGGGACACATGACTGCTGGCTAACCCACAAGACAAGGCTGCAAAAGAAAACAAGAAACTAGAAACACTAGTCTTTCTGTTGGGGATATTAGTAACTTATCTAAAATCACAAAAGTTTTTTTTTAATTTTAAGGTGAATCCTTAGAAGTAAAATTAGCATCAGATGTATTTTTTACACACCCGGGACGACCACAGTCAAGACGAGCAAAAAGGTCGTTGTGTCTTTCAAATGCCTCAAAGCCAAACATGCTGTCATGGTTCTGGTAGAGGGAGGGATCGGGTCAACTTTGTCTGGTTATGTGGTTCCTATGGCTGATCGAGGCATTCGCACATAGACCGGAGCTGTCAGAGCTAAAACGTGCAGTAGCAGTTGCTAGCTTCAGGACGGCAGAGTCAGCGGGAACATCGACTGCAGTAAATTGCAGTTGAGTACACCAAATTACAGAGCAAATGGAATCATGGAGGGACACAAAAAAAAAAAAAAAAAGCAGGAGTTCAGCCGGCTGGGGGTGTGATTACATTTAATGAGGCATGTGACATGAATCCCAGTCGCTATTCATCGGTGTGGTTTCGCAATGCGTTTTATCCACAGAATGTGTGTGCGTTTGTATGTTCGGAATCGATGGTTTGGGCCTCACCTGAATCTGTTTGAGCACTTTGGGAATGGGCTTACAGTTGAGCTTGTGACAGGCCTGTTTATACGAAGACAGGATGTCGTCCACTGTCACATTCTGAGCTGGAAAAGCACACAAAAAAAAAAACAATACGGTTTATGTTTAGTTGACATTGCAGCGTCAAGTGTAGTTTCACATACGCCAAACTACTCTTCCATACACACGCAGGATCGTATAATATACAACGGGCCGTAATTACAGACATACATTTGCCCAAAAACTTTGCTTACGCTTGCGTTGAATCTTGTTTTCACATGTGCACAATAGTCCTTAATAACCGTCCAACGACAAACACAAACACATAGCGTAAAAGGTCAGGATGCTATCTGAAGACAAAAGCTACATGACGAATCCTAAAATGGGTAATTGGGGAAATCTTACAGATATTAAGAACCATTTGAAAACATATATAAATACATTTTGCAGATCTAGAAGTTAGTTAACCTTAAGAGCGGCTTCATTCATATTTGTTTTAAAGGACTAAAGGCACTCGCTGCCAACAATTACACAGTCACATCAACTAACTTTTTAGTCATAATTGTGGGTGCAGTCGGGAGGATTACAAAGCTGCGACACTACAGGGGTAAACTGTAACCGTTTCATCATCTGATTATAAACATCGGCAGTTCTACACCACAGCAAACTAAATCAAGGGAAAAGAGCAAAAATTCACTTCATAGGGCCGCCTGCATCTGAGTAGTCTACCGATCATCCCAGCAATGAATCAGTTGAAATGTGATTGTCCATTTTTAAACAGCATAACTCTGCATATGAGGTGCAGGCATTATTTTCATCCACTTGGTGTTGCCATCCTCCCGTTGTACTGTTGTATCTGTGTCTTGGAGTCTGTATGACTTTAAAAAGCAGGGGCTTGGCTTGGTGGGTGACATGGGCGCCAGAGTGTAGTTGACAGGCTGGGAGCGTGTTGAGTTGCGTCAACATCTTGCTACACGGTGCGGTGCATGGGACGGAAGTGACATTAGTTCATGTGGAAAAATATTTTTTTTTTTGCGTGATCGAATTATTTAACGGTTCTTCTGAGCATTCTTATCTTTATAAAGTTTTGATATCTCCGTCTGAATCTCATTATAAATCTGCCGGTCAAAAGCAAAAAGAAGTGTCCAGTGAGCACTGACTAGTAACTTATTCGGTGTCACGGTGTTACGTAGCTTTCCTCCGCCGACTCAGTCTCAGCGTGGATAAGAGCATTTTGATAAATATAGTTGAGAGGAGTGTCAGTATGGCTCCGTTGAGGCATGAATGTTCGCACCGGAATGGAGGGGCGGGGGCATAGACAAGAGTTTAAATGCATCGCTTCAGAGATGTAGTCATCATGTTACAGCTCTCCGGCTCGTGCTGTCAAATCATCCCGTTTGCTACCTCTTTTCTTTTTGTGCTCAGTTGTTCTGTGCGTAAAATTCTGATCTGAAGAACAGAAGACGAAAAAGTAGGAAAGGCGTCCCGCAATCTAGAAAACTGCGAATGTACTATTTGACTGAGGTTAGGGGTTGAGATGCCTGCTCTTTGTGTGCCAGTTAAACGCAGTCGGCAATCTAAACCGCCTCGCCGGAGTTGAGGCTGTCTGCGTCACCTTATCAGTCTGCTCCATCTCCTTTCCACTGTTTCCTGACAGTGCCATCTGTCACTCTACTCATTCTGAGGTTCAACCACATTCAGCGGCAACATGTAACCGCAAAGCCTACGAGGCCGATAACAAACACGATTAAAGCTGCAGTCAATGATGAATGGGGCGGCCAATTCAAGAGGACACAGTTTGTGGAGAGTTTCATCAAGCACGCACTCAAAAGGACTCATGTTTTATGACGACTCGTCCATTTTTGCTGAAGAATATATCCCTTTTTTTTCACAGTTTCGTGTTATTCGGTGAAATTGCGTGCCTTCGTGTAGCACCGCATTGTGCCGCAACATGTCGCACTGAAATCTGCTGGAAGAGGCTGTAGTGAGATTCAAAGCAAGAAGAAAAAGGACGCCCCTTCAGTGTAATGCGGTTCCACGTTTTCCCATTTTAGTATTTGTTCTGCCAACAGAGCAGAGAGAATTTTTGCATGAGTAGTATTGTATGCTGTTGGTGTAATTGCTGCTGCGTGCGTGTTCAGGTAGATTTTATTTGAAGTCTTATAATTACCGGAACATCTACGCTATTTGCCATTTGATTAAATAGCTAGGTGTTGAAATAGCCAACGTGTAATTCTCGTTGTTTTATGTGCCAGTTTGAGAATAACATTTAATTGGGAGTGCGGAAAAGCTTGAAGCAATCACTTTGCCTCTTATTTGGATAACTTTGCAAACAAGAGTGTGAGAACCGGCCTTGAAGAAGACTTTCAAAGCTGTTACAACCAGTTTTAAGTGTGTATTGTATGAGCTCTCTATAACCTCAGATTTTTATCTAACATGGGTGGGTTTGAAATGTATCCCCTGTGTTAATCGAGGTGGGTTTAGTATAGTATTCAAGGTTCAAGGACCAATTGGAATTGCTAAAATGACCCTAGAACAGTGGTTCTTAACCTGCGTTCGATGGAACCCCAGCCAGGGGTTCGGTGAATCAGTCTCAGGGGTTCGACGGAGCCTATGCCATGGAGGTTAGGACATACCCGACTCAACATGTCATTTAGTTATTATACGCCCGCTTGGCCATCACTGGCTGCAGATGATCACATGACATTGCTTGTCCAATCAGTGCTGCGGAAAATTGAGTTCGCTCAGTAGTCAACGTGGGACTGTCGTGATTGTAAGCCATGTGATTTTAAATAAATAAATAAATAAATAAATAAATAAATAAATAAAGTGGTCAGACGTATATGTACAACATGGATTCACATTCATCATGGAACATGAGGATACTCATTGTCCTATCTGCATGATTTGTCGTGCCAAGTTGAGCAACTCCCATCTCGCGCCGCCAAAACTGAAGAAACACTTCTCAAATCATCTTTTTATTTTTCGCTAAGGGTTCCGTGTATCTGCATATGAACCGGTTGGGTTCGGTCCCTCTAACAAGGTTAAGAACCACTGCCCTCGAACCTCTTTGTCAAAACAGCAGGCTTTTGACTTTGTCTTTTTATGGCATGGGTTATTGATACTATTTTTGCACGTCCTATCATGACAGCCAAATGTTATGCTTTGGTGGCTGGATTAAAAAAAAAAAAAAAAAAAAGCAAAAAAAGCAAAAAAAGTTGCTTTGGTTTTGTTATGCTTTGGTGGCTGGATTAAAAAAAAAAAAAAAAAAAGATCAAATAAGTGTCAGTATTTTACTTTTTTTTTTTTTTTAATTGTGAGTTAGCCCACTCAATAGAGAACGCAATCAAGTCAAATTCCACACCGCATTTGCTCACAGTACTTCAAGTGTGCAGCCTTACAAGCTTGAATGGTACAAGGTGTCCCTTCCAGCGAACACTAAGTCCGTGGAAGAGAGTTATTGTGCCGAGTGGAGGTGGCGCAAGTGTGTGCAAACACTTCCAGCGGGAAAGGTGGGGTTTGCCGGCTGGTGGTCTCTTGCTTACCACACAGCATTTCCACACGTACAACTCATTGATTGCAGAAGAGTGTAACGGGTAGACCGGGAGAGAAACTCGTGAGTGTTCAAGCCTTACGAATGGATCAGGTACTGGGACACCTTTTTCAGAGGCCAGATCGTAGCACTGAATCAGCTAGTAACAGTTAAATATTTGGTGATAACCGGGCAGAGGTGCAGCAGCCTGGCAGGATCTTTCATATGGCAGCTATGTGCTGTTATTTCTCTTTTGTTTTTCATCACTTCCTTCTGTGCTGCTGGTACATGCCGAGAGGGAGTGGTGACTGGGAGGAGGGGGAAACGGCTGCTCCAAACATCTTTGAAAAACCATGCTGGGAGGAAGCAGAGAGGCGACGGCAAACACAAACACGTCGTGTAAAAAAGGTCAAGATGATGACAGGGTCAACCGAGACAAACTACAATCCCAGTTTAAGAGGCTTAAGATCAGGTCAACGCAGATCTGTAAAGAAAAATCTAGTGAAAGGAAGGCAGCATCGATTGATTTTTTTTTTTTTCATTCACAGGCTACCTGATTCAACAAACTGATCTATCAAGTCTCTAGATTGTGTTAAACACTTGGACACTTCCCACCTCAGGTTTTGTTTGGATCTAAAGGTTTTTAAACAGAAAGCTATTAAAACTCATTCAATACCAGCCAATTCTGGACCAAGTCTGAAAAGACGTTTAAAAACGTCTTTGGGAGTGAATGAGTTAAAGTTAAGTCATTTCCAGACAGCCGTAGCAGTGCCACCGTTGCATGCGAGCTACAGTACAATTTCCAGACTTGTGTGAACAACTGTGAATAAAAAACTCTTGGCAACAAGGGAACTCGAAATGCCATAAATTACAAATCTATTGCTACGGCCGAGGAGCTGGTAGTCCTGGTTTAGGCATTTCTCTGCTGTATAGCTAATCTCATCAAAACACCATAATCAGGTTTACATTAAGGCAATTCATTATTATTAATTATTATTCAGCGAAATCCCCTTCTGCACTCCCACCGTTCAACATTGGGTTTGAATTTCAATATCGCACCTTCAAGTATGCATTTCTAATCTGTTTGTAGAGTACTTGGACCTTTGCACTTTTAAAAGGTACAATAAAAGCCTTTGCATAGCAGAGCAGGTCGCGGTTGATGTGCCAACCAATTGACCACCCCCCACTCAAGGACATCCTTGTCCAAAGCATGTGATCAAATACTGCAGGTCTGGTTTACACCTGGAAATCAGCAAGATTTTTGATCTTTAAAAAAAGTAATGCCACGAACATATGCTGCCGCACATCAGTGTAAATGCCAATCAAGACAGCTTAATGGGAAGTGACCATGCAACCTATGTGAAAACAATATCATGTACCTTAATTTAACTCATTTGTGGGCGTGTGTGTCAGTATCAGACTCCCAATGTTCCAGCTCGACTGGGACTGTTAAGTGGATTTAAGATTTTTATTACCAACATAGGATGCATACTATGTTGTCAATTTTCTTGATTAGAGAATAGATTAGTCAAGCCACTGTAGACCCCCGCCCCC